TCATTGATCGGCTGCCTCCCGCATGCCCTGGACTGGGGATCGAGCCCACAACCGGGGCCTTTGACCCGACCGGGAATCGAACCAGATCTCCTGGATCCTAGGGCGATGCTCAACCACTGGNCGCCCCGGACTGGGGATCGAGCCCACAACCGGGGCCTTTGACCCGACCGGGAATCGAACCAGATCTCCTGGATCCTAGGGCGATGCTCAACCACTGGGCCACGCCAGCTGGGAAGCATCTTTATTTTTATTTAAATGAGCAAGCTTGGTATTTACTTGTTTGTAGATCATATCTCTCATTTTTTGTAGCTTGTTAAAATAAGAAACTTCAAAAATATAACCTATTAAATGACATGGAGATTAACATACAGGTTACGCACTAACTATGATAATCAGGTGCTAAAATTATTAAAATGGAATATCAATATTTGATCTAAAATGGATTCCAGTGGGACACTTTACCTAAAATCTAAACTGAGAAGAGTTAAAATTTATACTCTCTTCTCCATTTCTTATCGAACTCATTTTAATCCAATTTACTTTACATTTTTCTAGAAATCAGTAAAATTAGATAGTCAATTAAAATTTCATGGTCTGCAGTATTATCTTTAGACAAAACTGGAAGCAATGCCCCAGTTAATAATCTGACTATAAAAATAGAAGTATTGCTCTAGTTTCAGCTGTAAGATGTTTTAATTGCCCCCGTCCTAATTTTTCCTAGTTTGAGAAATTTAGCTATTGCTAGTCTTCGATGTTGGCAAACTTCATGATGGCCTGTGGTTGATAGAAAAAAAAAAAAAAAACACAACAAAAGCCTCATTTCCTTGCTCCACAGTTTGATCACAGATAGGTTTGGTTTCTGTTAAGTAGATAAGGTAAATACTGGATATGCATTCGATTAGCTGTTGAGATAAAAGGGGTGGAAACACTCACGTCTATTATATTTATGAAGTTTAAATGAATGGACGTCATGTGCAACCCAGCAAAGCAAGGATGGAAATTTCACATCAGCCGTTAGGTGGCTCCTTAGCAGGACACGAATCTGCCACCTGGTCCAGGTGAGGGTCCCGTGAGCTCAGCCACGGGAGGTGGTCGTCCGCCTTCCTGGGGCTCCGGTCACCGCAGCTCCTGGGGAGGTGAGGCTGGGGGATGAGGCAGGCGAGCCCAGGGCGGGGATCTGGGTCCGGGGACCTGTCTGTCCTTCCCGACGTGGGAGACGGCCGCGTTGCCGGCGGGGTCGCTCTGCGGGGTCTGCCTTCATGTCCTACACGGACGTGTGCACACAGGTTGGTGGCTGTTTTTACGCCTCCGTTTTCTGCTGCTGCTGTGAAATCTCCCAGGGCCGCCCGACCGTCAGGCCCAGCGTGTGCTTCTGAATTTCCACCTTTTTTTGCTCAGGATGCAGTTAGAGGAGTGGGGTGGCCCATCTCAAACGCTCCTATTGGTTTTGCTATTAAACGGTTATGACACATGGGCACCTGTAAATGTCTCGAAATTCTAATATTTAGGGAACATTTTAAAGGCAAGTCCCTTAATACGTGATTTAATCATCCGAATAGAGTACTAAACTTTGGCGGTTTGGGGAATTTCTTTCTATTCAATTATGTAAAGAGCTGAGATATTCTAATCAAGGGGATAGTTGAAAAGAGAGACGTGAGAGGAAGGCCGTGGTCGCTGGACTGTGGGGAGACCACGGGGAGAGAATGTGGAAGAGACGCGAACCCGTGAGGCAGGTGTCGCCCAGCGGTGCCAGGACCCGGACAGCCCAGGGTCTCGGCGTCCTGCCGGGTCCAGTCAGACCAGGGTCTGAGCACAGCAGGCCTGGGGAGGAGCCAGGCAAGAGTCAGAAATACTGGCCTGAGACACGCGGGAAAGGAAGGCCGCAAGGAGAGGAGGACACCTGACGCCGGCACTCAGTTCATCCCATTCTCCTGACAGCCGCAGCACCGTTCCCCAAATAAACACGAGAGCCCCGTGGATGGGAAAGTTAAACGTCGAGGACACAGACAGGACGCCGCGCGGGGTCACGAGGGGCCTCAGGCGCACACCGCTTGCTGCGCACACTGAGCTGTGCCAGCGCTTCCTCCCCTCCTGGCTGCTGCTGCTCAGGAACAAACGCTAGGAGCCCGAGGAGGGCGCTGCTCTCCGGGTCCCCCCCGTCTGACCGCTGCTAACAGGAGCCGCCCCTTCCCGAGAGTTAGGGGAAAAGTACAGGATTCGTAAACGTTCCCATCACTAGCTGGAGATTTGTCTGAGGGCCCTTAGATAGCAGCAGGTATAGGATGCATTCATCTAAAATATTTTATTAGCCAAAGCGGAATGTTTCTATGCTGCTAAAAGTTCCGAGTGATTCCTAAATTCGAGAGGTGGCCCATGCGCCCGGAGGCGTCCCACTCTGGCCTCTCCTAATTAGATCAGGTGGAGTCGTGTCTGGCCAGACGTGCGCTGCATAGTACAACAGCTCTGTGGCTGTGTCAATAATCATATGATTCAGTTGTTAACGTGCGCTGGGATCAAGAATCTAGACATTTCAGAAATCAAGATGCGAAACGTCTGCTGTTGGGGGGTCTTCCAAGAGAACGCCTAGGAAGACTCCGAGTATGTGCCACGAGCCATCCTAAACCCAGACGCGGTCCCTTCCACTAACCTGAGGACAGAATGCAGAGCCCGTCTCGAGTAATAAACCCAACAGCAGTAGCTGGTTTCAGACGAATCATAGTTGGCTGACAGTCGCTGTTTCAAATGGCTAATTAATTACATTAGCTACACTGCATGTAATACATACATTAGAAACAACGATATGTTTGCAATGCAACACACAGCTCTGTTTTTGTGAATGGATGTGACATGCACACCAACCGTCCTGCCTTTCTTGTCTCCAAAGCTATTGGCATTAAAAATTCGTCTTTATCGCCCTGGCCAGGAGGCTCGGTTGGGTGGAGTGTTCACTTCCCCGTCAGAGCACATATCTCGGCTGCGGGTTTCGTCCCTGATAGGAGGTGCATACGGGAGGCCACCCATCGACATTTCCCTCTCACGCTGATGCTTCTCTCTCTCTCCCTTCCTCTCTCTAAAATCAATCAAAAACAAAGAAGGAAGGAAACCAGTCTCAGAGTTTCCCTATTAAAACAGCATCCTGATGTTTGCATTTGCATATTTCTGAGTTTCAGGGAAAATACAACAATGAATCATTTTAGGAACGCTTGGGACTTCAATAGCTACCCCTGCACTGCGGCTGGGGGACTGAATGCACTTCAGGGACATTTAATTAGGTCTGATTCACGGAGCCCTCATCTTTCCACTCCACT